CTCCTGCTGCTGCTGCAACTACTACTACTACGACTCTACGACTACTACTACCACTACTCCTACTTCTACTAGTAGTAGTAGTAGTACTACTACTACTACTACTACTACTACTAGTGCTACTTTTACTGCTACTACTACTGCTACTACTGCTGCTGCTGCTTGCTGCTACTACTACTACTACTACTACTACGACGACTACCACTACCACTACCACTACCACTACCACTACCACTACCACTACCACTACTACTACTAACTACTAACTACTAACTACTTACTACTTACTACTTGCTACTTCTTACTACTACTACTACTACTACTACTACTAAGACTTCTACTTCTTCTACTACTACTGCGACGACGACTCCTAATCCTATACTTCTGCCAGTGTTGCCAGTACTATTGCCGACATCTCTATCAGTGCAAGTACAGGTACCAGCACTAGTTCCAGTATCCGTGCCGGTACTGTTGCCGGGGTCAGAGCCAGGGCCAGAACCAGCACCAGCACCAGCACCGCTAACCTGGCATGGCACTACCAACTTTGGCGTGTTAGTCCGAGTGATACGGTTAGCAGTCGTGAACGGGCTCACTGAATCCATTCGACACGTCAACGCTTCTAGGTGAAATACACTCGACAAAATTGCTAGCTGCATGCATGGTCTTGGAATGAAACCAACTACCAATGACTTTCAATGATGTGCGACTGGCACCTCCATGCCAGGATTGCTCAACAAGATTTGCCCCGAGAACGTCGCCTCCATCATCGAGAAGATTGCGGCCATCGAGGTCCAGGACATCAAGCAGCTGGAGGCGGGAAACTCCACGAAATTCTGTAGGCTCGGACAGTGGAGGGCCGATCGACACTTATGGTGCCAAGCTTTGTTCAAACAGAAGTACTCACGACTCTCCAGGAGATCCGAGGGTGCCGGACAGTTCGGATGAACTTATCCGAGTATCCTGCCTCTCCGTCTGGTCCGATTTAAGACTCGACGGTTTCGGTTCTCTATGGCTACATTAGACAGGCCATCATCGAGCTCATGTTCAAGAAGGCCAGGTGCCGTGCTTCTTCGGAGCGTTCTAGTCTAGTACTCTCGATATCGCTGCTGAGCTTAAGCCTCCGTGGGGTCATCTGGGCCTGTGAGAAGACAAGCTTTTCACACACCTGTTTCCGAGCTTCCCGGCCAGGCAATCACCGAGCCTCACTACTGCGAGACCTATGCGGACATGGTCTTCAGTCTCAAGGTGGGTCGGGGCATTGTCAGATGAACGCACGATTTTGATGTTTACGCTTACGCTGCTCTCGGTGCATGTTGCAACTCATGGAAATGGAAAGCACCGGCCAAGACTTCGCTTGGTCGTCGCTCTTCCTGCTCGGTCAAAAGCCATGGCATGGATGTTGCAGGAATTTTCGGTGCGTTTCCGTACGACTTGCGCTTGCTGATTGTGGCACCTCCTCCAGTGGCTTTCGGACATTTCTTTTTTTTACTGGCTGAGGAGTCGCCTGAACGTGGTGCAATCGCCAAGTGCACCCGTCGGCCATGATCTTTCGTCGACATATGTGTTTGTGTGTACATACGTACGTACTGTGAATGTATGTATGAATGCTATTATGCTTGCCGACTCAGACTTGTGCTTCGTGGCTGATTTGGCCCGGACGAGCTGTACGCTAATATAGTGGCTCGAGAGCAGCCCCGATGCGGCGTGCACGTGGGATGACGCCTAGCGGCAGAGCTGTCAACGTTGAGAAAACATGTTATTTCTACAAACACTCTGCTGGCAACACGTAGTTCGTCCCAAATATCCTTACAACGACAGTTCAGCTCTCTTCGTATTGCGTGCGCAGGCTGTGTACCCATCGTTCCCATCACCAGATGGCGGCAAGCCGATCACATTCAAGGGGCTGGTCCTCAATATCTGCCGCTGGCTGCGAAATTCTGAAATCCACGAGTGCTTAGAGTTTGGTGATTTCAAACGGCAGGCATCTTTGTGAAATCGGATTGGGAATGGCTCAGAGGCATGTGAACAATCTGTGCTAGCTCTGGAATATTCCCGAACTATTAGTTACTAGTACCTAATAAGCCTCCAAGTTCCAAAAGCCACTGCTTTTGCAAGGTCAAAATGAGTTTGAGGAGCTGCTTGCATCCAACGACATCAGCGCAGAGCAGTTCCTTGGCTCTACCGTGTGGTTTCCTGTTTCTTGTTATTGTTGCATGGCATGGAGTTGATTTTCTCGTTTCTCCGTTCTAGGTCAATCGTGCTTATGCTACTGCCGCCCGATATCTTGAATGTTGCCGTGACACTTGCGAGACTGCCTTCTGCGACGGCCACGAGTAGCACTGTAGGCTTAAACTTAAACCCGAGAAGGGAACAAAAAAACGACTGCCAGACTGCACTTCCTCGCTGGGCCCAGGAAGGCCAAACTTGATGAAGAGGAGCTCGAGTACATGCGCAAGAAGCGCAAGGCTGGAGACTCCACCCAACGAAGCTTAGGGTTATCAGGTTTATACAAGGGTGTAGGGCGTAGGACCAGGAGCATTCACAGTTAAAATATGGTTTATGTAAGGGTTTGGGGCTTAGGGTGTTGCCAAGCTGTTCGAAAAGGGGCTGCAGAGACACTGACCGGCCTGTTTTGGCATGGACGGGGTGGCGGGGGGTTGGTGGGGAGGCGATTCGGGCGATTAGTGTTGATGTTGAGAGCATGCTAATCACACGAGTTTCCCTCAAGCCCTCCCGTGACTCGGGGGGGAGTCAATAAGTAGTAATACTCGCAAATATCCATTATGACCAGAGCGTATTAGACACATATGTATATATATATATACACACATACTATCTCGTATATGCACATGCAGGCATGCATCGGGCATTGGGAAGATTGCCAGGACCGCATGCGCGCGAACATGAAGTTCATTGGCCACCTGTTCCTGCGTCAGCTGCTGTCCGCCAAGGCGGGCAACTTCGAAACGTGCAGAGGTAAGATGACAAAGAACACCGCTGTCAGGGTTTCATTAATTATTCTTTGTTCTTCGTTGCAGCATCATGATCAAGGGTATTGAGTATCATCTCCAGACATTGGAGAACGAAGAAAAACCGCTGAAGGTAGCTTGCACGTTAATCATTGCCAATTAGACGCTGACCCTGCTCACAATCTTGGTGGCAACCCGCTCGTGGATACTTGCCCCACCGAATCGCACAGGTGATCGGAAGCGTCATTTGTGCCTTGTCCGAAGGCCTAATTGGCCAGGCTCTGCACTATACTCTTCTCTTTATGTATATATATATATATATAGATATACATATATATATATATATATCTCTCTCTCTCTCTCTCTTCTCCAGTTTGGCTGCCATTGCAAAGACTTCTGGGCGTTTGCCGAGGCGAGCTGGTGCTCTGCGAGCAGGTGGATGACCTCCCCGAGGACAGTTTGGACACAAATACACGGTGTACTGTTTAGGGTTTAGGGTTTAGAGTAGAGGCTTAGGGTTGTGGGGTTTTGTTTTTTTGTTTTTAGGGTTTCTGGTTGTTTTAGGGTTTAGGCTGTTTGTCTTTAAGGTTCAGGGGTATGTGAAAAGTTCAAGCAGCAAGGGTTAAACAGTGTCCACAGTAAGTTAAGCCTCGGGTGTATGGGCAAGCATCGAGGATCAGGAAGCTTGGGGACTTGGTGGCTTGGTGAGCGTGAAAGTCTGAATGGGAGCAAAAAGCAGTTCATAGTAAATATATAAACACATATTGTAGAAGAAGAAAGAGTGCGACAATACACTACAGTATAGAAATAGTATATGCTGGTTCATTGTAGTATATAGTTTGCAGATTGTCCTGCACTCCGTGGCAGGAGCATGCACTGGAGTGCGCGTGTGAGCTGCTGCTGGCGATCGGCTTCACGATGACACAAAGAGATGTAAGAGGGAATCGCGTGTCGGTTAAATTTCGGGGGTGAAATGTTGCCATGCATGTTTCCAAAATCTTGATTGCCACTTGAGCCCTCAAGTCCAAGGCTACACCATGGAAAACATGATTGCCGGCCAGTCTGCACTCACGTCTGCTCCTTGTCGCAAGAAGGGATATGGTTTCGGGGTATTGGGCTTCGGTGGACGACGGAGCTTTTGCAGTGCTACCTTTGGCTTCATTGTTGCATACAACGAGGCTCTAACCTAAACCCTAAGCTGCAAAACAAAGTGTCGAGGTGTGCGGCCGCTTGAAGGAGCTGATGAAGCGCCGCTTGCCTGCTACTGCTGGACGTATGGATGCCGCTTAAGATCATAGGCGACGTGGGTTTAAAGTTTAGGTAGGGTTTGTTGGAGTCTTGACAACAAGGATTCGGCTATTACCTGTTTGTAGAGACTCCCATATGTGACCATCTTGCTTTCATGCCGCAGGATTAGGATTTGAGAATCAGGAATTAAGCCGTTGGAGAGTGGAGCCCGCCTAAAGCTTCACATCAGTCAGCCGTGCATCAAGTCTGCATGCAGAAAAAAGGATAGGCCATGATAGCCCACGCTCTCGAATGCGGAATCACTGTATAGTAGAACTGCATCATTGTGTGTGCACCCATGGCCCTGAAGGTCCCGACCTTTCTGTTTGGGCGAGAGAGCGAGAGAGCCAGCTAAGGAAAGCTTGAGAACGGCAAGGGCGCTTACTGCAAGCGTGTGCCTACACGGAAATGGTGCTCAGGGCATTGCACTTCTGAGACTAAGCACTTCGAAGGGTTCGGTCTCCGTTGGTGTCGCACCGCGTGCATCAGGAAGCAGACTGGAGCGTTTGACCTCCAAAAGCTGGAATTCCTATCCCGCCAAACACCGCAGTGTAGGGTTTTACTTCGCTGCCGAAGATAGGCACGGAGCCACTAGCCATTCGTTCATCTCTGAGGTGCAATTCATGATCCAGGCCCCGGTAGTCTGCTTTCGTTGATTCATGTCTCGGGGGTCGGGTCATCGATGCCGAAGACGAGGGCAGTTAGCTCCCAAGAAGACGGGATTCTCCTGGGAAGGACGTGCTCGACACACGTGCTGCTGGCTGGCAGAAGAAGGCCGATGATGGGAGAGATTCTCAAAGGTGCAGGCCAATCTAAAAGGGTTGGTTCCGGAGATTCCTCGTTGCATGGCCTCTTGGGCTTCAGCATGGTGTGTAAGACTTTCGACGAGATGGGCTCCGGGGCTTTCCAGCTGACAAGTTGTGGGATCCTCGTCAACCAAGTCTGTTTATCTGCTTACCTGGAACTGCTTCCGGGAGGGAGCTTGAAGTTCATGTGCACCACGATGTTTCGGCGCACTCTGGTAATCCCTAATTACTCCTGGCTAAGATGTACTACACAGCGCATACCCTATGACCCAATGAACCCGGGGTGTGCCAAGAGTGTGCCAACACCAAACGGGTCTCATGACACATGAAGCATCACGCTCAACACGACAAGGCAGCAGGCTCCCAGTTGCCAGGCTTTGAGCGGGTTCTGTGGCTCCCGCTATGGTGCTGTGCGGTGTTGGGCTTCCGCGCTCGTGGGAACACCCAACACTTGCATCCCCACATTCGGCTTTTCATGGCTTTTGAAATCAGAAGCAGCAGCGTAATTGCAATCATCGAAGCCCGCAAGACATGGACCTCCAAGGCGGCAGGCTTTCTGTGAATCTTATCTCCCATGGCTTCGACAGCGCGCTTCCACCACTGCTCATGCCCGTTCATTCCCCATGTCATGTTTGATAGTTGGAGCTTGAGGATAGGCCCTTACAGTGCCTTACAGTTTCCCATTCACCGGATCCTGCCTTGCCGTAATCCCGGCGCATGTGGCACGCTTTCGATTCTGGCTTGCTCTTGCCCGCCCTGGCCGTTCTCTTGGCATGGTAACTGCCTGTCTTCCACAGTGAGCTGCATAAAGCTGCACAGCATCGCATGCCGTATGATCCTTAAGATTGTGCCAACTTATGCCCTGTTGTGGTCGAGTGATGCGCGCTTTCCTTGAAACACAGGTCTTCAAGGCCGCAGCAAAGACGAAGGAAGAGATCAGAATGGAACAGGTTTCCCGCCTGCAGTCTTCAGGGCTTCAGACTCTGGATGTGAACGGCTCCGGGACAGGATTCTCGCCATGTCTCACGGCGAAGGTACTAGATCCTACAGTCTGGGCGGCTCCCCAGCATCTCAAATTTGAACATACAACTTGCAACGGCACCGTATGAAGAGCCACACTCTTGAATACTCGGCGACTCAGTGCCCGCATCATTGGTGGTAGCTTAGCACTTGCCTTCGTGTGGGTGTGGGCTTCTGCCATGACAGTACTTAGCCAACACGGTTAGCCACGGTGACCATCGTGCCAGGAGAAGGAAATGTCCGACAAAGCCAAGGGCAAGGAGCCGCGGCGTTGCCATGTCGTTGGAGATAGACTGTCTGTTTGGCAGATGGATTTGTAGGTGTACATGCACACACGAGTCGACGCCGTCGTCGTCGTCGTCGTAGTAGTAGTAGTAGCAGCAATAGTAGCAGTAGTAGTAGTAGTAGTTGTTGTAGTTGTAGTTGTAGTTGTAGTAGTAGTAGTAGTAGTAGTAGTAGCAGTAATAGTAGCAGTAGTAATAGTAGTAGTAGTA